TCTTCAAGGGTGTTTCTTGGTGTAAGTGTTGTAACAGCTACAGAATTTGGTGTAGTCTGAGTATTGCTACTTGCCTGGGTCACACATTTTCAAGTATCACATGATCAGGCTTTCAGGTAATGAAGGGTGAAGTTATCTTCATAACAGACTGATTTCTCTTCAGTTTGGTGATAATATACATCAGGTTCCCTGTATCAACAGCCCAGTAGACTCAAGTGTATCCCTTAGAGTTCCCTCTGCATTGCTTTCCTGCTTGATTATGTTGGGGTTTTGGATTTGCCTCCTGCATTGGAGGCTTTCTATCCACAGACTTCAAAATGTTGTGGGTTTTTTATGCTAGCCTGGTCTATTCGTGTTGAAAACACTTTTTTTAGCACATTTTTTAGCTCCTTACAACAATTAATAGAAATAATCAAAAAGTTGTAAAATTCTTACCTCTAACTTTTGGCATGTCCCTTCTAAGTCATAGATGGGGCAGCATACTGAGGATGTTTGGCCTATGTGTCACTCCCTGCTTTCTCTTCCTCTTCCAGACTAGTTTAAAGAAGTTATTGCATTCAGTATTAGGAAGCAGGGAATTGGTTTCTTCTGAATGATGTTCATGCCAATGGATGCCTCAAAAGTGCAAGTAAATTGCATCCTTTTTAAAATTTAGCTTATCTTAGGACTGGTTTCTTCAAATTTAATTTAAGTGCCCTGCAAGTAAGGAGTTTTGGCTCAACAAGATATGCTGCTTTAGCAGTAATATCATAATGCCTCATTTGACTTCTTGAACTGTGTACCTGTGGTGCATAACTTTGAGAGGTCTGAAGAATTGCGTCTTTTTTTCTGAAAGACAATGGGTGAGTTGGGTCACTTGGACAGCTATCACCTAGTCTTGAACACTTGAAAAGCGAATTGGAGCAGAATTATCCAACTCTCACTGGCTTCTTTTTTGCAACATTAACACCTATCCAAGTTATGACTTAAAATGCATCCAGAATTGTGGTTAGTGATTAAATATTGTAGATGTATAAGACTTGCTTGACATAGGTAGGGTCAGTTTTATCTGCCACTAAGATGGGCACATAGAGGGAAGGGAGAAAGAACAGTTGGGGGAAAGTCAAGCTTGAATTTGCTTTAGGACTATGCTTTGGAGAAATAACACTAGTTGCATCTTGATATTTAGGGTGCCCTCCTTTGGTTAAACCAAAGAAGAAAAGAATAGGCAAGCCACCTTCTAAACGCAGAGACACAAGATGTGAGCTGGAAGAAGAAGAGCAGGAGATGCCTAAAACTACTGTACGCAAAGGTTAGTATACAGTGACAAGCTACAAGAATGACTGTTACAAGCATTTTTTCATTACTGTCTTGGAGTAATGGTTCTTGGTTTGAACTGCGAGGATAGTTTGTGAAATAATAGCAAATGCTATGTATGCAGACAAGATGAGTGCGGGGGGGAAAAGCACGATAAACTTTGAACATTTGCTCAGCTTGCCATGAATACCATTGTAGCTTTGACCAGGTTAGGTTCCTTCCCTTGATTTAAAGGAAGGGGGTGAGTAAGGGGGGACACACCATCAAACCCCATTGTTTTAGTCTAGTTGCTCTTCAAACTGTTCTGCTACCTTTTTTAAATGTTGGGACTTATGTCACTTTGCAGTATGTCCTTTCCTTTAAGCTACAGGTCTGTTTCAGCTGAAATACTGTAGTTTGATACAACACAAATGCATATAGATAATTCTTTAGAACTTCAACTTTATGGAGTAGGAACTTCTTCCTACTTGGGAGGAAGATGGGGGGGAAAAAACATTGTGGGGGGAAATCTCATTAAGTAGGTTCAATAACAAATATGCTTTTGTGCATTTGTGGGAGAGTCTAAAAAGGTTAAAATTGAAAAGGGTCAGTACATACAAGAAGCTACCTAAAAGTTTCTGCTGGTTTCTTCTGGAAAGGAACAATCTGGCATAGTAAAGCTAACTTAAATATTCAGTCAGTTAAAGGCCGTCTCTTTCTCATATTAAACGAAAGATTACAATTCCATGTATTTGCAAGGTTGGAAACAAAATTAGACTCAAGCATTTTATTAGCCAAAATTGGCATCAGTCCTGAAGTCAGACTGTTTAAACATCAGTGTTTAAACCTTTAATTGCTGATCCTTTTTTAGTAAAACATCCAGGAAACTTGCATGACCCCAAAATACTTCTTATATTTGCTCCAGAAATAGTTGGTGTTTCTTGGATGTGTTCAGCAATGTAGTTACAAGAGCATGCTGAAAATATGCTATGAGTTTGAGATGGAATTTTTATCTGTTATACTGGGATATTCTGCAGTCCAGCACCATTCTTGCAGAATTTATCCTTGCTGGGGAGTTGAGTACATAGTTCTAATATCCACCATCAGCATCCTCTCCTGCAACAGGGAAAGGCAATCACTGATGTCTAGTCTTTCTTTAGAAGCAAATTGACATATATTATTTGGAGAGAGAATGCATACCTTAATCTTTTTTTTTTCTTTAGGGCGTGGAACAAGAAAGTCTTTCTCTAAGAGATAACTGCAAATATTGGGGCAGGAGGGGGAAAAAAATGTACCAGAAGTTTGCATAAATCCAAAACTTGGTTATTGTGCTCTTGGATATTTTGTAAGTTGCTGTGCGCTCTTAACGGGTAAGAAGTTGTACTGTAAATACTGAGGACACTATTAAAATGGAATTAAGTATTTAACACTAAAGTCACCTTTTTACAACTAGCACATCCACTATTTAAATAATAAATTTAATAAAATTGCACTTGGAGACTACTTGTATTCCATCTATATGTGGAAGCAAAAAAGTTTGATAGGGATGTCTGTGTGCATCAGTGCTATTACAGCATACCATTTACTGCTGCCCTGTTCTTAGGCTTTGCAGGATTGTGAAGCCTGTCAATGTCATCTTGTCTCATAGTCAGTTTGTATTATGTAGGCATAGGTACAAGATTATCTTCTATCAGATGGATTTTTGTCTGGATTTTTTTGTCAAAGTATAAAGGAATATAGTTAAAGCTATATGAAGTCAAGTACTGACTTGAAATTTGAAGGCAGTTTCTCAGATATTAATCTTTAAATGCATGATTGAGGACTAAAACTAAAGCACTGAGCTGATGTGATGCTTCCCCCACTTCATCTTCTTTTTCTGTGGAGACTTTTGCGAGTCCTCTATGGAGACACTGAGGTGGAGAGATGGACGTTGAAGGTGAAACACAAGTTTTTACAGCAGTGGTGTGCCTTGTTCCCTGACTTCCTACTGATGACTTCTATTATAGCTGATACTGTCCTTGGCAACTCAGTACAGAAAAGTCCCTTTTGGAACTAAGATGATAAAACTAGTTCTCTGCTGAGCAATCTTATGAATAGTGGAAATAGACTGATCTAGATGAGGTGGATGGCTCAAAAATGTGTGATCTATTTCATGTCTCACCATGTCAGGATAAACATGAATTTTTCGATGACTTCCAAATAAAGTGCTAGTGTGAGTGGAAAAAGGTAAGGAAACTGTAAGAAACCTTTTTTTTCTTTAATAAAGGGCAGTGGACAGGCAGGACTTGTCTTCTGCCTCCTCTCCCAGTGTTCCTATTCTGTCTGTGCCCCAGAGTAACTTACACAGATAGATATAGCATTTCCTGTGACTGCATTCAAGTTTTGTGCCTACCTATTACTAGTTCGACCTGTATCTGAGGTTATACTGTTTTCCCTCAGTAAGGAGTACTGAGGTTTCCCTATCCAATTGATCTTTTATTATTTTTAATAGCACTTGATTACTTGTTAAAGGGCTACTGTAATTACAGCCTTTACCCAAGCTGTTAGGGGAAAGGATCCACTTTAACACTGTGATATCAAGTTTTTACTTCCTTTCTACCCTAAGCACTGCAAGAAAATAAGGAATACAAATTCTTATTTGGCTTTTGTGCTGCACAAAACCTCCATTCCATCAGAACCTCAATAAAATGAGGGAGAGAATTACTTCAAGCATGGTACTTTTTAGTACTTTGGAAAATACAGGACTGCTGCTCTTGGATACATAATGTAGGCATCTGCTGTTCTTAGAGGAAGGATAGAGTTTATTCTGATGGCAAGAATGAATGGGTAGAATCTCTTCAACTTGAAGGCTATAAGTGATGGCCTAAAAGTAATCCTCAGCTGTAACTGACACCTCTTAGGTAAGGATTGACTACTTTTTTCCCTGAACTTGAGTGGAGCTTTGGGATTGAATACTAAGCTAATTCTGCTGACAGACTTAAATGTTTGTCTTTTGCTGCTTGTCTGATAAAGGAATATTCATGACATCACAGTTAGATGGCACTCTTATTTTTGGGGATGGCTAATATTTCACAGGTACTCCCAAGATCATGCTAATCATCTTTTCACAGGTCTTGTACTAGTCAATGTGCTTTCTACCCAAATGTAAGAAGCAATTTAGGGCCCAACAATATGTGAGGGAGCAGCAGCAGTAGTTTTTAGACAGCTCTTTTGTCAGAAAGCAAATGCTATTTAAAACTAATTACTTAATCTTGTAGTGTACTCATGCTGTGGATCCACACCGGTGCTTAAAGTAGCATGCATAAATGTTCTAGTGCACCAGAAATACTTCTTGGATAATGTTATGTATGGTGTACTCTACTCTGACAGTACTAGTCCTGTGATGTTAAAACTGAATCTTCTACTTGGCTTTTGCTTCACTCAGCAGCCTGGATGATTTGTGGACTGCATCTTAAATCAACTTCATTTAATTTTCAGGAAGGTGATGAAGTACAAACGGCATTTTAAGTCTGTGAATTAAAGTCCAGGCTCCTCTTATTCAGCCAGGTAACTAGCCACAGTGATATTTGAGATTTAATTTGTTACAGATGCACATACGTGTCAACTTTTGTTACCACTGAAGCTAGAGTGCCCAGTGATGAGTAACTGCAGTGCTGGCAGTATTATGAGCTTGTAACTGTAGCAATACTGCATTGCCTTTGAAGATTTCACATGCTTCCTGCAGCGTGTACTGAAGGGCAGCTGAAGAATCCATTTGCTGATTGGCACACCAGTAAGAAGCCTTAGAGGCCTCTGAGACTGCCATACTGGGAACTTTGTTTGGAGAGACTGCCTGTGACTCAGAATTTCTAAGTCATCATTTATAGCTAACTAAAACCTCTGTTGCAAAGTGGGTGTGGTGTAATCACTGAAGTGGAGCCCATGGGTTATGTTGGCCTGCCATGCCTTAATTCTATATTTTAATTTTCTATTTGGTAGCATCTGTGTGGCATAAAGCTTTCCCTTTTACAATGTCCTGTTTTCTGCCTTATCTTGGAAGAAGATTAATGACAGGTCTTTCTATTAAAATAAAACAATGGAAGAAGGGAGCCAATGGCAAAAACCACTCATTGCATGCTAACTGTAGGCATACCAAGGAAAAACAAATGCACTGTTGAAAGAGTTCTTGGATTCTCCTGACTTGCTGCCAATGGCCATCTCAGTCAACAAGACTATAAACCTCAAGTAATTTAATGGCCAAAGAAAGGAGACATGTCAGTTTTTTGCTTAATTAATCTTTCTGAGAAGAATGGTTGAGACTATTAAGATAATCAGACCCGAGAGCTGAAGACCGGTTAAGCTGTCTTGCCTGTGAGTTATGTTGTAGCTGCATTTCACACTTATTTAGATTCATGGGACTACGCAAGTATGCTGTTACTACCACTCAAGCTTCAACAGAACTTCCAAATGGAAATATACATGTTCTACAATGAAGGCAAGGATCACTAGGGGGAAAAAAAAAAAAAATGCCCGTCTGAACAAAAATGTTCAATAGGTTAATGGTTAAGATTTAAAAAAATAACATTCATAAGTCTTGTAAGACTATAGCTTTCTATCCTCCTTTCAGGATTTACTTCTATGTATAATCATTTTCCATTAATAAAAATGGGTGTTGGTATTTATCTCTAGTCTATGTATTTCTAAAAGACCTATAGTTTCTCAAATGGTTCCTTGATTTCACTGTTCATGATCATTCTACTACTGTTAGAGCTTTCTCATGCTTTTTTCAATATATGCATAAGCACAGACACTATGTTCTGTACAAATCCTTCCTTGTCTTTTCAGTGCAAATCTGTTTTTGTTCCTTCTTTTGCAGAGTACCAATATACATTATCTAGGTCCTCAGATTGCAGCTTTGTAGCACCCTGCCTTGAGGTTCCAAAAAGAGACGCTTACTCTTAATCAGTTTATAGCTATCTCCATCTTTCTAGTCAATTCTGCAAGATTATTAAAGTGTGGTCAGTCCACAAGGTCAATTAAGAACACCAAACTTTCCCTTCTTCCTGCTTACAAGTTTTTTTTTTCACTACTGTTCTGGGGCTTACATGCATATAGTTGAAAACCATTTTAAAAGCTTTACACACATTTTATGAGCCATCCCACAAGAATATATATTACTACCTAAAATAATTCTAGTTAACATAAAAAATAAGTTGGAATTTATTTTCCCAAGCCTTTTTAAAAGGAAAAAAATACCCCTCAAATGTACCAAAACAACTGATACTGAAGTGTATGTAGAAATTAATCTTTTTAATTTCTAACATGAAAACCCCCTTTTAAAATAACTAAAACCAGTACCTCTTTACAGTAAAGTTGAACATATAACATCCTTACACTTGGCTCCCACTCCTGTGGTTTGGAGAACACTTTAGGTATTGCAGAACTGTGCATATCAATGGTGATGATGTTAAGATTTTACTACATGAAAAACTGAAGTCTTGCAGACACTGCAATTTTGTCTTAAAGTAAATTCCTTTGATTAACTTTTCCCCCCCTTCAGCAGCACTCTTTATTTCCCTAGCTGCCAGTACTAAGATAAGTACAATGAACTTCAGCACACAGGCAATATGCAGAGAAAAAAAAATACAGTACAACCTGCTTATTATAAGCACTATAAGTGAACTCTCAGTGCTCTGCGTGTACAAACTGCAGTCCCATTAAATTGAGGCTTTGTATATAATAAAATGACTTCATGGAGAAAAGACACTTCAGTAGACAGTCTGCTGAATTCTGCAGATTTGTTGGCAATACTGTGGTAGTCACTGCTTTCTGCTGATAGTCACATGTTGCAATGCAGAGGCTCAAGTTGACCAAGATGGATGACCCTTAGCCCAGGTTTTACAGTACAAAGATAGGGTTGATTGAGTGTTGTTTAATGCAGCTCTCTTCTTTCTGGCTGCAGCACTGCAGAGGAGCAAAAGAGGATGGCCAGTGTAGGATGCTACATGTATCCATCTGTATGTTCTTAGTTTAATAAAGCCCTTTCTGGTGGTTTCTTCCTCATTCTTGGGATATTTCCTTGCAGTTCACAAGTGGGGATCAATGAGCATGCAGCAGGTGCCTGCTGTCAGTCAGATGCCACCTTCTCATTAGATTTAGATGACTTATGCTTTCTCTTTTTCTTCTTCTTCTTTTCTTTCTTTTTCTTTTCCTTCTTTCTCTTTTTTTTCTTGTGTTTATCTCTACATTCTGAGGAAGTGGAGCTGCTGCTATCATCACTGTCACTGTCATCACTGTTATCATCATCATCTTCTGAGGTAGAGTCCTCTAGGAGCTGCTTCAGTTGCTGTATCCTGAGTTTAAAAAATGTGAATGAGAATGCTTTCTAGCTCTCCTGTAAAAATTTACTCTAGCTTTCATCTGTTTCTTTCCTAGCTTAAGAAATGGAAGCTGCATGCAAAGGGCAGAGGAACATTTCCTCTTTTGCTGAATTACGCTCCCAGTACAGTTTTCACAGACTGATACAAGCAAGCTCTTATGAGACAAACACATGGTTTGTTCTCAGAGACTTTCCATCCCACCGGATGTCAAAACCAGACTAGCTTACTGATCAATACTTATGTGTGCAAAATAATGAGGCAATAGCTATCCCCAGACCACCATAAGAACTTCTATACTTACCCGTACACAGATGCGTACTGGGACTACAGTATTATGAAATCCATTGCCATACTGATACAGAGATGATGTCTGTGAAGCTGACAGAGTAGACTCAACTCTAGATGCAGATGTACTTTTGACAGGCACTCTTTCTTTGAACTTTCATGGATTACTGGCAAATGGGGACAGGCTACTTGCTTATTTTATTCTTACCTTCAGTATCCTCTCCAAGGATTAAAACAAAAAGCAACACACCCACAGCTACCTATAGTTTGTTCAGTTATCTCATTGATGCAGTTCAAGTAAGAAAGCACTGAAGAACTCTGCTGCTTTATATGTTGAATCATGACCTCACATGAGGAAAAATATCAGATGCCTAGAATTAGCTTTCTAAATCCACCCCTTCATGTCTACTAAAAGCATTTCGATGTACCAACTTTTAGAAAACATCTCAGTGAAGTCAGTGAAAGAAAAAAAAAATAAAATAGTTTTTTAGTCTTATACCAAAACTAAAGTCAAGTACCTGAATATTATGGCATAAATTTTACTATGACTCCTCTTTAAACTTTGTTTTGGGAAGAAATATAGAAGCTAACAGAATTAAAGAGGTAGGAAGTACTACTGAGCAATTATTGAGAAAGCAGAAATACATTAGTGTCTGCCAACATAAAGAAATTGCCATTAAAAAATGTTCTGTGTTGGTATGGGTAGCTTGTATCAAAATTTCACCTATACATTAGTACCATATTATCAAAACAAAATGCAGTTTACTACAGAAACACACTTACCTCATTTCTTTTTCATGACGTTTATTTTCCCTTATTATATCGTACATTGGATCTTCATGTGCCTTTAAAGTGAAAAACAGAAAATCCAATGTTGGTAAAGAAAAGTATTCCTTAAAAAAAAAAAAAAACCAAAGCAACCCAATGCAAGAGGCTTTTATCAAAAGATGAAATACATTTAGTGAGCTCTTAATTCAAAAGTATACTCTCAGACTTAACACTGTTAATCTGAACTTTTTTTTTTTTTTTTTTTAAATTCAGGAAAATCTTATCTAGCCACATCACCAATGTGTGAGCTCTCCTTAGGGATACTACCTCTCTCCCTCTCCAGTCACAGTTAACTAAGAGGACCCCATACAGATACTACAGGTATAGCTAGACATAGAAGGAATACTGAAGTCCAAAATAGTGAGCTGTGCCCTTATAGCATATTTTAAAAACTTGTATACAAACACACAGGAGTACAGAAATGAGGAATACAAGACAAACAGATAATGAAGCTGGAGTTGTCCTAACATGCTAGGCACTACCATTATTGGCTCTAATTTAAAAATAACTGATTTAAAACAGGCATTGCAGCGAAAGATGGTTGTGAAGGAAGACAGCAAATAAACTTTGCAGATATTTAAAGGAGGTCATGCCATGCAAGAATGCATCAAAAGGATGGGGTGATCATTTCTGTTGGAAGATTCAGCAAGAAAGTTCAACAGAGAGGAGATATCAGATGCAGACCAGAGGTGGGAATTAAAGTGTCAGTAGCAAATGAAAGACTTTGGGAATGCACAATGAAGGACTTTGGACATACAGCAAGAGTTCGATACAACAGAGAAGAAGCCTGAGAAAAATGAAGAATAGAGGCAATCTGGTCATGGGAGCAGGCTAAAAATACTCTTTGCAGTAGCATTCTGATTGGACAGAATAAGTCCAGACTGCATTTTTCAAGGACAGAAATGAGGACATAAGACACAAAGCAATGAGAGTTTAACAATGCAGAGCAACAGGAGTTAAAGAAGTCATGCAGAAAGAATCTGCAGAACTGAGATGCAGCCTCATGTAGCAATGGATCAGACTTGTAGACAATGACGGGATTACAGACCTAGACAACAGGCTTCATGATGTGGTTGTTCACAGTGAGAGCGGGAGGCTTGAAGCAGCTGTAATATGGGCAGCTCAAGCTTGACTAAACATTTTTTGTTACGTTGACATTTTATGACAAAAACTTATGCTGTAAAGGTGGACTGAATATAATGGTTGAAACAGGTTCTTGAAGATTTCCAATTGAAATGTAAAAATTACTAATTTTCCTCTTGAAGAGTAGATTTTCTGCAAAGTAGTCAAACATCCAACCACATCTGTAGCTTTTTCTTTATTAGGAGATTTTCGGCATCTATATTATACCAGACAGAGGAAAAGTCCTTAATAGAGCATCATCTAACAGGCATCTCTTCACTTGCAAGATTATGCATCATCAATATTAAAAAACACAAGCAATAATACTACAGTATTTGTACTCACTACTCTAAATTGTTCCAGTTTCTGATTGCCTTTAATAAAGAATGGGCATTCTTTATCTCCTGTTCTGTGTCCATAACGTTTACACCTCCAACCTTTAAAAAAAAGAAGCAGCAGTGAATTGTACTTCCGAGCCAGATCAGAAGAAGAAAAAGAAAAAAAAAAAAGCATATTTATGGAAAATATTTTCAGTTTGTTGAAACAAATAGACACAAGTATTATGTTGCTAAATGTAACACCCGTGAAATGCAAGGCTATTACAGCTTTCAAGTACTGGCCGCTTTCATACCAATATGATGCCAATCTACCTGGACCTTGTCATCTGTCCACCAGACACTCTGCCCTCCCCCAGAGTAAACAGATGGCTGCATGAAGGTCCGGTGATATCTGGAATATTTTCAGCCTTACACTGCATAACTTTGACTTCTTTTCCCAAAGGCATCCAAAGCCCTTTTGTAGGGGCATGTGCCAGGAATTCACGTGCACTTTCATTGCCTGGTACATCAGGTATACAGTCTTCTGGTTTCGTTTCATTCTCCTACAGAAAAAGATGAAGACAATAAAACAACTTTTTTCTTGAAACACATAAAGGATCCTGACCTTTTTAACAGCATTAACTAATTTACTTTTTCCCCCTCACCCTTTGAACTTTCCAGTCTTAACTTTATTGCCATGTTAATTCCATCCCTTCCCATTTATTTTAGTAATGTATTTAAACAAATAACATAAATGAAAACAGACAAGCACAGACTTATTTTTCCTCTTCCTGCTAACAAGACATAACAATTAAAAACAGCCTTTACAACACCGAGCAGTATGTTTTAGGTTGAAAGCACTAGATTATGGCTTAGGTATATAAATTTGGCAAAAGCCACGATCATTAAAAAAGGAAAGTATTTTTACACAAATATTTGAGCATAAGCAATGGAGAAGAATTCTGAAAAGATGTCATTCAAACGGAAAATCTGCTCCCCTCTATCCACACTACTAAGTACAGCATTAAGTGTGCGTGCTAAGAGGTGATGAAAGAACTGGTATTATTCTATCTGATTCACCAAGTCGAAGAGGTTGGCTTGTAACTGAGGAGCTCTGAGTTTTCCCCTGGAGGCACCTCCTTCTCTCTGTAATTTATATAGGTAATGTAGACACTTAAGATAAATGGCTAAAAGATAGGTTGTGTGAAAATCCTCTGTAACACTAAAAATTTACTGCAATATATTTACCAACCTTAATTAGCCCTGGGGGAGGTTTCTCATAGCTGAAAAGCAATAGAAATATTGTTACTCTGCAGTTTAGCACAGACAAATAAATTGAGAAAAGACAGTATTTTAGAGTTAAAGCCTTCACATTTTCCCTTAAATTTTACTCAATCAATAATTACTAACAAGTATAGCAGAACATGGATACCTGGATGCAAGCAGACCGAGACACAGTGTTTGCCATAACACCACACGCGTCTCTTGCAAACATCCCTCACATCCATATTCTTGTGGAGAACAACTACTTTCATTGCACTGCTTTACAGGGATGTGTGGTACATGCAACTCAGCTTCAGTTACCATAAATGCACAATTCTCTTTTTCTGTAGCACCCCTCCCCAAGATGTCACTGATCCAAACTTCTTTACTGCAGCACCGCTGAATCATAGAGCCAAAAATGTCAAGTCAGACTGTTCCTTACATCTGGCTTTGCCAAACAAACCTAGCATATAATAATAAATACATCTTCTTCTCTCTGTATAGTAAACCTAAAGACAGAACCTTCCTGACCAAAGTATCATCTTCCCTGCCGCATTTCTCTGCAGTTAATAGTAGACATGAAGTTTATTAAAATCTAAATAGCAAGCAGGTGTGACCGAGAAAGTGCATGTGCCTAGGAGTCAAACGCCAAGGCAGCATGGAATGGTCTTCATAACAAGAAATTGCTGAGTGCTGTTCAGTGCCTTTCATAATAAACAAATTTGTACTTCCACTTGGAATGGAAAAAATCATGTTCTTGGGAACCTTCTGATCTTTTTAATTCCATTAAATAGCATGAACCTTTCTCAGCCCCGCCGGCTGCTGATGGACTCATTACGCTGCTCTCACACCTTCTCATCTTCTTTTTCTTTTTTAATCCACCCTGGTGCAAACCGGACAAACAACCCCTGCTCCTCTGCTGCAACTCCCAGCCTTCTAGGAACCTGGGCGAGACCCATTTTCCTCCCAGCAAATGGTTATAAAGCCACCGAGCAGCTCTGCAAGCCCCACAGCGCTG